ATGAACTTTTCAGCATTTTACCTCCTACCACTGTATAAACTTTGTGCTCTATGCCCAATTTTAGTAGTTTCATTCTGCTCCCCTTCATTCTTAATTTGCAATCAGTATAGCATTAGGGACTTATTCATAAGTGCTGTGAAGTGGTAAGATTCTAATCTCATTTGGAGTTGTGTATGCTACTGATACTGATTATGTTTCAAAGTCAATAGCTGCTATAAATTTGCTTCTTTTCAGCTTATTAGATCCTCTTGGTATCTTCTGAGCTCTTTTTAGTGGTTCCTAGATAAAGCCATGATGTGTACATGGAAAATAGAAGGGCAGTGATGGCCTGCTACAGTCATCACATGACTCTAACATTTGTTTATTGTAGTATAAACACTAAAACAGGGATGATGTCATTGTGCATATGGCAGTGCAGTTAGATCTATTAAATGCTATTGTTAATTTAAAACAGTTTCTGTTTTTTTATTTTTACTATTAATCATAAAGTTCTGTATAGTCTTACCCATTTGAAAGTCTTGTTTTCATGGTGTTTGATGCATAAGATAATTTTAAAAGTAAACAATTATTTTAATTATTTTTGTAATTCTTACAACATAATGGTAATAATAAATTTACTTTAATTTTCTTAGTTTTGGTTTGTTAAAAAGTCACAAACTGTTTTCACTTCTTCCCCTGTGATACGATACTGAGCTCTTGCTTGTATCTCTGTGCCACTGAAATCCATAAATACGTCGAATTCTCTTGCTTTTCTTGGTAGATTATTAGGATTAGGTACATCAAGTATTAGCTGACCTATTGCATGTACCGTTGGCCTGTCTTCTTTATCTACTACATACTGAACTCCATCATCTGTTGTACAGTATATAGCGATAGACTGTTGTGTCTGGCCTTGAGAACGAGGTATAAATGATGCTCTATACACTTCATCCTTTATTACTTCTCCTTTGAGTATGAAAACTTCGAAAACATTGTTACAAAGTCGTACACCATCTTCAGTTTTACACTTGTAATGTTTATCATGTATTGATTGGTTAAATATTGGAGCAACACTTGTCCCATAGGTAGCATCAGCAACACGTGATTGGATTATGTCAGGATCTTTCCTCCACATTACTGCTCCTGATACAACAGCAAGATCTGGTTGTACAGGACACACTATATTATCATAAAGCATGCCACGATGCTGAGCGATAGCTTCTTCTATTTTTTGACTAGCAAACCTACACCCTCCAAACCCTCCTACTAGATAAACGGTATCGATTCCATCAGGCTTAAGCTCATCAAATGCTGCTCTCACACACTCTATGATCTTATCTATTGTGGACTTAAATATCTTCTTTTCTAATTGGGCATATTCCATTTCTAATGCACCTTCTCCAGGATCATAGTACACCTTCTCTTGCTCCATTCCATCACGGATTACATTGCCTCCATAATTTCTTATGAAAGCTCTTGGTAATTCAAGTACCATTTCTTCAATACCTGGTGTTGCGTTTCCAAATATTTTTTTTTGTTCCTCAAAGTCTTCATAGACCAGTTTGTTTATTTCAGCTATGTTACTAGCATCTGATTTTATAAAAGACTCAAAACCTTTATCATCTACTGCTTCTTGTAGCAATTTTGACAAAGCTTCATTGACTGTTGTGCCTCCCCAGTTGTTGCCCATTGGTGGTAATACTACACTAATTCTCCCATTACTCTTATCATGTACAGTAATATCAACTGTACCTCCTCCTATATCAACTACCATATATCTTTGTGGAGGGGACCCTGGTACTTCTGACTGATGCTGTGCATATATAGCAGCTACTTCTGGTTCTAGAGCTAATGATAGCTTCTCAGGATTAACCTCCTCTGGACGTGGTAAAGGAGAATCAACTGGAGTGAATTTAGTTATACCAGGACCATCAGAAGTCAGGCTAGCCTATCATAGATATTAACATAATGAAATACAAAGCATGTATTAGGCTACCATATAAGCAGCTTCTCTCATCATTCTTCTTGCTCTTGCTTTCCATATAGCAGGAATAGTAATGACCCAATCAATATCAGTTGACTTGTAGTTTCCTTTCAGATGATCAGTCAATAACTTCTTC